GGTTTTTTTTTTTTTGGGGGGGGGGGGGTACGAGATTGGTCGGATACCATATTATCTACTGCACTGGCCGGGTACGACATCTGCATGGGGTGCATTCCCTTTTCACCGGATACGTCGAACATGGCCCCATGGGAATACCCTCTCATACACTGTATATAAGAAAATAAAATATGGAATAATAAACTGTACAGTAAATACTATGTCGTATGGCAATTAGGTAATGTCTCACCTGTGAATGCAGACATATGGTTCCTTTTTGTCGCCTGATTTAATTTTGTATGCTTCGAGTAACGCTAACTCTCGCAGTTGCGATCTATTAACCTAAATAGAAGATGGAAAATTCTCCACTTAATCTTCGTATAGATGGAAACTTTTTCGAAAAACTTGTTTTTAGTTTACATATCTAACACCTAATCGGGAGCAGCAGGGGAAATGCAACTATATAGGCTCTCCGGCAAGACTCGAATCTGCATGGTGCATCGCTTTACAGCGCTGAGCCGCTGACCACTGAGCTACTGAGTCCAGTTCTCAATAGCAATCTTCAACGGTGTGCTGAACTCTGCGAGACTCGCTGTGAGACACCAGGGTTCGTAGTCTCCAAGACCAAAAAAATTCAACGACTTTCAAAGATTTTTTCTGCCTATTTTCAAAGACTTTTCAAAGACCTTTGAGAGCAATCAGCTGTCGAAAAATTGCAAGTGTAAGCAACATTTTTACCCAATAATTAGTCCCGTCAAATCACATCCTAAAATGCGCCTTTTCGTCGATATTTGCGAAAATCTTGCTTCAATCAATTTATTTTATTAGCTAGGAAATCGTATAATCAAATACTCACTAAAGAATTCAAAGACTTTTAAAGATTTTCTTCGCTTTTTCACACAATTCAAAGACTTTTCAAAGACCTTAAAGACCTGTATTCAAATTTAAAGACTTTCAAGGATTTCAAAGACCGCTACGAACCCTGGACACCCAAAATTTGTTCTATACGGGTATATTGAATAACCAAGACTGACCTTATTGGCGGCTTTCAGTGACTTCTGTAATTTATCAACCATCGTAACATGTTCGTCAGGACCACAACTACAGAGAAAACAATTAACAATTATTCAAAGGTTTGCAGACTACACGCGTAAAAATTGAGAAAATCAACAACTTGTTCCAGGTTGATATCAACAGGCGTGAACAAGATTGTGCGGCCCACTATGAACAGTATTGTCAACATGTTGTTACAGCATTGTTCAACTGTAACAACTTGGAAGAACATGGTTGACAATTACTTGTTCATAGTTGGCCGCACAACATTGTTCACGCCTGTTGAATCAACTTGGAACAACCTGTGCGTTTTTAACCGTGTAGAATTGTTTGCTCCAGGTCAGTTACTCAAAGATTAATAATTAAGAAATTACCGACCAACCTTAAAATCTTTGTAAGGCCTTTTTCGTTATCCAAGGCTTTATGGGTAAAATCCAAAACTCTTTTTCCAGCCAGGAAAAACAATCGAAGCAATCCTTTTGTCGGCTCAGTATGAAGAAGTTTTATCATCTAAAACATTTACAATTAGACTCTTCATTACCGTAAGGCAATATGGAAACAGAGATACTAAGGCTACGTCACAATTAGACTCTTCATTACTACAAGGCAATAAGGAAATAGAGGTACTTGATAGAGGGCTTTGTTCACATGGGCTCGGATTGCCGAGAACTCTAGCGACTGGGATCCGAGCCTATACACACACATGCCGAATGTCCGACCGTTATTTCAAGGTCCAGAACGCTTCCAGTTTCTTTTCTTCTGTAGTTACAATGGACGATTAAGGGATAGACTCACTGGACCTTTCGGGAGAACTGGTTAGAACTGATGAAGTAAGTTTCGTTTAGTTTAGTTCAAGAAAGTGTATTACCTGTAAATCACTCAGATTACGAACATGTGTACCACAGCACATATTCATTTCGAGACCTGGAAACGTAAAACAAGAACAGGGTGATAAGTGCACGTATATGAATGAATTTTGAAACAACGGTGGTGTTTTGAAACAAACTAGGTCAGTAGGTGTTCAGCAGTGGTGAAGGCATCCTGACAATTTTATGCTATGCAAATTTTAAATCATCATTAATTCATTTAGAAATTATAATTGTTTTCACGATCTATGAACACGGAAATATTTAGCCCGCGTGCAGGCCCAAGGGAAGAATAGTGGGCCTGCAAACAAGGCCCAGTATTTTGTACTTTCCGCGTTCGCCCACGAACGCGGCATTCTGATCGGCTGTTTGCTGTTGGATTCTATAATTAGATCAGTGATTCATCACAAAGGCTCTCGATAAGCTTAAAATTCGAAAATTGATCACTTTTTTCGATTAAAAATGGAACAAGAACAGACTGTTTATTGTTTACTTGAAGGAAGAGATGTTTTTGCCGTTATTGCGAATGGGGATTGCTTGTCGTGAAGTGTTGGAATAGCAACATTGCAACTGGGGTAAACTATAGTATTAACCTTTACTTGAGTTTCATTAATTTCAAACAGACTTGATACGTTATATGTTCTTCAAGAAAATTATCTTTTGGTTGATGTTGACTCTGTTCTTGCACTGAAGAAAACAGCGCTTTTCGCGGTGAAGATTTAGAGGCAGTTGCATGTAAGCCTATTCAAAACACTTTGCGATTTGCAAGGCTTCGCTGAGAGAGCGAAACAGAAGACGGTAATTGCCGTTTGAAACGAAACGATCTGGACTCTGAACGCTCTCTTCTTTTGTAGAGTTCTTTACCAAATGAAATAACAGAAAAAAATTTCGTACTTTCCGCCGCCAACAAGAATTGCACACACGATGTGAGAAGAAGTGAGACAATTTATTTATAACAGTGGCGACAACGAAGCACACAATGCTAATTGGTCGCACGACTTCCCTCACGATTTGAAGTTTGAGGCTCGTTTTCTGTTGAAATTCGTCCTAATTTGCCTGTTCCGACTTTAGTTGAAAATGAGCACTTACAAATTTGGCAATTACTGACTGCGTTGCTTGCTTTTTTGGAGTTATAACACAGCCATTTACACATTGTATCTATTTTGAATATTAAAGCAGAGAAAATCCCGCAACATTTTAATGCGAGTTTGTTTGTTACTATTTGGGTTGCTGCCATTGGTTCTTTTTTGACAATTGACGCGCGAATGGGGCGTGTTATGAAAAGGGGTGTTTTACAAAATACCTGGCCTTGCTTGCAGGCCCACTATTCTTCCCTTGGGCCTGTACGCGGGCTAGGAAATATTTGCATAGCATGACCAAATTGTCGGGCTGACTTCGCCACAGGTGTTCAGTAGTGAGTGTTGAGAGCGAAAAACATAAATTAGAAATTGAATTAAAAACATATAGCAATTAGCATCAACTCCAACCTTCTATCTCTACAACGCGAACTTGGCCAACATGGTCATCTGGCAAACCGCGAGTGCGAACCTGCAAGAATCAAAGGCATTGAAGAAACTGCATTGGTGACTGTTTGTTAATGATGCCTGGAGTTGGTTGATAAGTTTTTTCGACCAAATCAAAAACTAAAGTTATTTTTGTTATCGCCTTTCACAGAGAATTCAAGTAGAATTAGAGGAAAGGCTGTCGGTGGTTGCTGTAATTCTGGATCATTTGCTGATTCACAGACATATGTGCTCTAATATGTCATATGTCTTGTAATTTCATCAAAATTGTTTTACTCACAATTCTCAATAAAGTATTTCTCGTAAATTTCGTAATTGATCTTACTTGCTGTAGTTCAGGATCCTTTGCTGATTCATAGACATGTACTGTAACATTGGTGTGATTTCTAATAGCCATATTACATTCCTCTTCGATCTCTGAAAGTTGATCTGGTGTTAAACTTGAACAACCAAGATCTATCGCTGTCTTTGTTTTACCAAGTTCCCTATATTTAAATAACACTTGCATGGTCATCAGTTTTGATCTGGCACACACATTCATAGTAAAGCCATGCTATCTCGAAAAGCCAAGGGAAAAAATCGAATTACAATTAAATTAAATTGACGTGGTTGATCCAGTATGACCCACCGATACGACTTTTATTTGTGAAATCCAATAGTTTTATTTAACAATTGCGCTGTAGGTATATTAAGTTAAGAGAGTGTATCTTTTATTATACTAGATAGGATTTTTAGGTGGAATTTTTAGACCAAATGTAAAATGTTGCCACGAGATGAAAGATGGGATTTTTCATTCCACGAGGCGACAGCCGAAAACCAAACAGCGCAATGGAACCAAACGTACAGTACAATGAAACACGTTCCATTACACTCAGTAAAATGGGAATTTTTACTTTTTCGCGTGGCCACATGCTGAACAGCCAATTAAGTGACCATAATTTAATCGCCAGGAAAACAAACCATTCATTGAAGAGTTGTTATACACATACTGTAACTGAGAGAACCATCACCATGAGGAATTCAAAACAAACCATTCATTGAACATACAACACAAAATAGATTTATATATTCTAACTGAAGTATCTGATATGAATTTAAGTTATATTCAATTCTAAATATTGTATAGTACCCTATATATGATATTCAGTTGTGTTCGGACATTTTCTGATGTTTATCAGTCATCATCGTCATTAGAGTTCAAAATAACTAGATAAGTTTCAGTCAATAAGGGACGGACCATTAGAAAAGTGATGGGGGGGGGGGATTTTCTAAGAGGCAATATATATTTTTTTGTATACCTATAGAAGAAATTTTTTTTCTCACTTGATGGTTGGAAATAATTTTTTTTAAGTGAAATTTATAGGCCCATCTTCCAAGCTAGGAATTTTGTTTTTTTGCACTATGCCTGGGAAGATTTTTTTTTCCTAATTTTTTTCTGGGAATAAATTTCCATTTCTGTCTGTGTCAATAATTCGAAATATCTTATCGTAAACAACGGTCGCAAAGCCACCTCCCTTCTCCACGTTATCAATCCAAGACTGCACTATCTCGTCGTAAGTCAAGGACTTCGTGTAATCTGTAAGACCCAAGGAACCACACATCCCGTACATGGCGTCAGATAATTCTTGTTTGTTTTCTTCAGGCATACCAAGCTCGTCGTATCATAATCAGCACTAATCTTTGGTTTTGCCCCCCCCCCCATCACTTTTCTAATGGTCCGTCCCTAAAAATTCGTTCGAGATAGCGGAATTCTACTGTATTCCCCAGCCCAGGGGTTGTGGTGTTGTAGTGTTGGGAAAATCATGAAAACGTTTGCTTACATACCATGACAGTGTTTTGTATCCATAATTTTTGTCGATAATTGCAGTTATAAGATGCTGCCCTAAAACAAAAACAATATATGCACATACAGGGTGTATCAAAAAAAGCGCAACCTCGGAATTTCCCAAGAAATCGACATTGTTTTAAAGACAAAAGATTATAGGCGCCTGGGAATTTAAAATAGCACAACTGTCAAAATTACTGCACACGCGAGTGCATAAAGCAAAATTTATGCATTTATTTAATGCACAACAACAGTAATATGATCAATTAGCAATTCGATTTCAATTCCCAGCGGCCTAAAATCTTTTATGCTTAAGAATTGCACCGTGATTTCTTAGGAAATTCCGAGGTTGCGTTTTTTTTTGATACACCCTGTATAGTGAAACACTGTTTAACTGACACCTCTACAGTACAACGGACGGTAAGTTCAATTAGTCCCGAATGTATTACTTAAAATGCGTGATTTACTCAAAATCTTCTAAACAACAAATAACCGCAAACAAAGGACAATGGATGGAACCAGATTTGGGGTTTGGTCATGGCTTGGGGTACGACGGTTGACCAAGTGCACTGAACATCAGCGGAAACCTCCAATGGTCCAAAGGTGTACGTTCTATGGAGGTTCCATTGTACCACCATTTCGCTCAAAACTAGTAAACTGGTCATGAGGCAAATAGGTGAAAATGTTTTTTATACCATTCTGGTATAAAAAAACAGACATAGTACCACAGTGCGGTCCCCTGGAACATGCGCAAAACAAGTGCACCACAAGCGCGGGGACATGCTGTTTAACAATTGGTCGCTGAAGGCGAGGTGATTACAAGCCTATATTCACTTCGCCTTCGATATAGGCTTGTGATCACCGAACCTGAGGCGACTAATTGTTTTAGTATATAATTTCAGTATTGAAAAAGTTTTATTTCTAAATACAACTAATACACGTGTTTATTTTATGAAATAATTTGCATAAATAATTTACTTCCGTCTGATTTTCAGTTATTCTTTTGGGAAAAGCAATAGTTACTGGTCAGAACAGTTTGAGAGTTACTGCCTCAGAGAAACTGCTGAGGGAGCGAATCAGAATGCTCAAAGGCGATTTTTCAATACTGAAATTATACTAATTTTGAATAGACACCAAGATTTAACAAAATAACAGATTAACAAACTCACACAGCGATTATAAAGCGATTCCAAACTTCGTTTGGGCACCGCAATCGCTTCGCCCCAATGCATTCCAGTAACTATGAGTTTTGTCTTAAGGTACGTTTGCACACAACGATTAATCGGGCCGATTCGGCTTTAATTAAATGATATTAGAAAAATACGCAGTCAACTGACAACATTTGTCAATCATTAACATTCGCAAAAAACCTGAAATCGGCCCGATTTATTGTTGTGTGTAAACGTAGCTTTAACTAGAAAGTGTAGGTCAACTGTCCACACAGGGCAATATAATAGTGAAATACTCCTACCTACCTGAATGCTGTTGCATGTGGTCAAAACGTCTGGTCCAGTCTACTTTCAAACTAACAACCGCATCTACAGGAATGGCTTTTTCTACCACGTGGACAGCAATCGCACCACGTCTGGCCACACGGAGTACTGGAATATCATTGATCTAGTGTGAAAATTATCCATATGGAATGAATTGAAAGGTTGCAAAGACGGGAGTTAAAAATCGTGTTATGAAATATGCATATATTTCTGTATTTAACTACACGGTCCTTAAATTAAAACGTCGTCTCACAACATTTTGGACTTAACCTACAGGTCCATGTAGCTTTCACAATATTGAATTTGTGTTTAAAATTGTTATCCGGAGAGTTACAGTGAAGGCAACCATTTAAACTGGAAGCATTCTTCTCATATAGGCCTATGCGGCGAAATTATAATAAGACAACTGCACATTGCAGGAATCCTGAGGCGGCTGCAGGATTCAGGGTAGCACTGGGCCAGCCCACAGGTGCTCTCCCACTTTTCTAAAGATGGAAAAGGGTGAATTTTAATATCAGGGTGGGAGGTTTGGAAAGAAATCAGTGAGAAATCAATCCAATTTTTGAAGTGAAAGAAGAAACTAGGAAGAAAGGAAGAAACTTGTTGCATGTTGTGTTTGCATAGTGGCAGAATATCTCAATGCTTTACAGGTAGCTTTAATTGTAAAAATGAATAGGTATCTAAGTAAGCATGTTTAAATAAAGTACAGTATACTGCATGAATGTACCAACATATGTGGTAGTTCAGTGGGGATACATTATACACAACTTTCTGATAATTTTGCCTGCATACCATATAATTGTGAGAAATTAAGAAAAGTGCTTCCAGTTTGACTCTACCCACCACTGCAGGTTTTCTCCCTATGCACCAGTTTTCTCCATGAGCAAATAGTCAATAAAGCCTGAGACAAATGTATTTTAAGCTAGACATCTTCACAACACTTATCTGGTTGTTAATTCTTTTTGAGCAAAGTTGACAATCTTATTTAATTTTTAATTCTTTTATATAATAGTTATGTTTATTTTTTTGCAGATCTAAATTGGGAAATTGCAAGCTAATCGTAACTGCCAGGAAAACGACATATAACTCTGAACTTTTTATTGTCGCTGTATATAATTACCAGGGTTCGATAATTTAAGATTTTTAGTCGGACCTGACTGGTGCGCCAATGACCATTCACCATTGCAGTGTACTTACGCTAGTACAAACTCGATACTCAATGTGTACTTAGTCTTTAAAATAAAATATATAAAGCACAGGATTCTAAAAGTATGTTCCAACTACGAGATAGAACAAGTAGCACAATTACATATACAAACAATGGACTCCAACATTACTTAGTGCCATCATCAGACTTACACATATGGCAACTAAATTATGGTATTGAACACCTTGGGCTAGGAAAGGTCATGTGATACCATCAAAAAGTAAGTACACAGATAGCAAGAGTTCCGATCCGTACCTACGTGGCACGTGGTTGAAAACAAAGAAGTACCAGACCGTAATATTGGCATGTAAGTACGCGAATTATCGTACCCTGTAATTACATCCTGATGTCATGTACTATTTTAATTCAATACTAATTATACATATGCTAAAATCTACCAAAAGTTTACTTACTGTTCCTTTGTCACTTGGCTGGACATGAAAGATAAAAAATATCAATATTTTGGGATAGGATCATGATATCTCAAACATGGGGATCCATTGTATGTAGTATATTCTACAGTAAACTGATTCATAAGCGTACAAGTGGGGAGGGGGTGGGGCTGGGGGTGGAAAGGAGTTGCAGCCACAATTATTTTTAAATCAAGTAGATTCTACTTAAATATCGGGCAATTCCACTTAAACATCAGGCAATTCTACAGGAAGCACAACATGCTATTAAAATATCACATGGAAGAAATATATGTAACATTGGGAAAATGTCATAACTCTAATTTTTTGTTTTGGTTGGGCAATTTCCATGAATGTTCAGCAAATTTTTGTTTACCCCCCTATTTTTTTCCTACCATATATCTACGGGCTGATTTGCTTGGTGTCTGGGCGACATATTTAAAAATGTTTCACTTGAATGGACATTTTCACTTTGAACATCTTGAAGGACATGGTCAGACACATTATAGAACACATTCTGATTGATATGTGATGTACATGTGAGCAAACTAATTTAGGGTAGAGCTAGAGATGAATTATATGCAATTATAGTATAATTTGGTTTGTTGCTGGCGCAATGGTTTAATCAAGGATATGCGCTTAATCGTGCTATGAGCATTTAGCATGCCTTTGACACACCTAATTCAGACAGCGAACCAAGTCAATTTATAGAACATGCAATGACCAATCTAATGGACCTTTTTCATAATGATGTCAAACACAGAAAAACACTTAATGTGATGTCAATAGAGAGAGTGTGCAATGCAAATGATCCATTGAAGGGTTTGAATCCAGGTTTACTCATTTACTTTTATTGTTCATCTAGATTATATTTAAACAAAATGTTTTATTTCATCTAACGTTTCGGTTTCCTCTACGAAAACCATTTTCAAAGACGTGACGGTACTATTACTAATGTTCATCTTGCATGCGTCAGCTGGTTGCATGGTTGTTTTGAGATTCTGCGTGCATGTGCTCGCGCTTATTTCCAATTAAACTAAGGTAGTCGCGCCTGGCATAGGCGGCATCCATTAATGCTATTCTTTTCACTCTTCGTATACCAGCTTTCTAAAACATTCTCTGGTTTAAATTTGATGTGAATTCCAAACATGTAGCTCCTTCCCAGTCCATTTGGTGTTTGGTCACTTTGGTGGTCATATGGTGAACTGCTATTCTGTTACTTGTATCTTTATTTGCCAAACAGCATTATGTTCTTTAATTCTACATTCTATATTCTTCCAGGTTCACCAAAATAGCTAGGAGGGCATATTCAGCACATGTTATGCTGTAGACTGCTCCTAATTGAGAATTATTTGGTGTTGGATCTTTAACTTCAGTAGCACGTCCCGTAAAGTTGTTGAAGGTTTATGCGCCACCGAGATGTTATAGGGTCTTGAAATTCTCTCATGCAATTCTTTCTGACGTGCCTTTGACGTACGGAATAGTGGCAATATATTTGATGGCATTATTAGACTCGTTACAAGACTGTTCTAACAGGTCTGATACAGTCATGATATAACAAAAATGTTAAAAGTTTGACGACACAAAGTTGTAACAATATTGTTATATCATGACTGTATCGGACTTGTTGGAACAACCTTGCAACAAGTTTGCTAATACCATCAAACCATTGTTAACAGCTTGTTCCAAATTTGTTGACAACTTGGGACAAGCAGTGCGAGCACAACTTGTTGACGACTTGTTGGCAGACTTGTTACAAGATGTGAAATTTTTACGTGTGTACACCAGTCAGTGTGTCATCATCTACACCAGTCAGTGTGTTGACCATCATCTACACCAGTCAGTGTGTCATCATCTACACCAGTCAGTGTATCATTATCTACACCAGTCAGTGTGTCATCATCTTCACCAGTCAGTGTGTCATCATCTACACCAGTCAGTCTGGTTGAAGATCTTGCATGATCTTGGAAGATCATGGCAAGGTCTTGGCAAGACACTAATCTTGACCAATATCTTGCCAAGATTATTCAATCTTGCCAGAATCTTGCCAAGATTGTCTGAAATTCTTGTCAAGATCTTGCCAAGATCTTTCACGATTTTTCTTCATACATTTTTCTTGCTGAGCTGTATGTTTCGACCTTCATAAGTATAGGTATAATGAACCTTGATCAAACCAATCACATATATCATAATATTGCCAATACCCTATCATGATCTTGCCATGATCTTGGAAGATCTTGTCAAGATCCCACCATGATCTTGCCAAGATCCCACCATGGTCTTTGCTAAGATTTTATCACAATCTTGCCAAGATTCTATCATAATCTTGCCATGATCTTGCACAATCTTACCAAGACTCCACCATGATCTTACCAAGATCATATCAAAATCTTGCCAAGATCCTATTGTAATCTTGCCATGATCTTGGAGGATCTTGTCAAGATCCCACCATAATCTTGCCAAGATCCCACCATGATTCTTGCTAAGATCTTATCACAATCTTGCCAAGATTCTATCATAATCTTGCCATGATCTTGCCATTATGGTATTTGGCAAGATCTTGCAGGATCTTGGCAAGATCCTGCAAGAACTTGGAAAGATCCTGCAAGAACTTGGACAGTCAGTGTGTCATCATCTACACCAGTCAGTGTGTCATCATCTACACCAGTCAGTGTGCCATCATCTACACCAGTCAGTGTGCCATCATCTACACCAGTCAGTGTGTCATCATCTACACTAGTCAGTGTGCCATCATCTACACCAGTCAGTGTGCCATCATCTACACCAGTCAGTGTGTCATCATCTACACCAGTCAGTGTGTCATCATCTACACCAGTCAGTGTGTCATCATCTACACCAGTCAGTGTGTCATCATCTACACCAGTCAGTGTGTCATCATCTACACCAGTCAGTGTGTCATCATCTACACCAGTCTGTGTGCCATCATCTACACCAGTCAGTGTGTCATCATCTGCACCAGTCAGTGTGTCATCAATGTGGTGGATTGGGGTAAGTAGCTTTCTCTTCTAATCGCTGCATTACAATCTCAGCTATGACTAACAAAACTGGGGAACCCATGGCATGTACAGCTTCATGGTTCCACAGTTTTGATCGTAGCTGAGATTGTAATGCAGCGATTACAAGAGAAAACAATAGCTTGAATAAGTACAATCCACCACCTTTCTGGTTCCGATACGTTGATGTTACATGAAATTTGATTGGCTTGGCAATGACTTGCATTTAATTGTCCCATGGGACATATTTACATAAATTATTTCTCTATGTTTGATGTCATTATGAAGGTCTATTAGCTAAGTAATAGGTTCAGTACACTCATAGCATGCTGCTGTATAAACCAGTCCTTAGGCCATGTAAAAAAATATGCCGGTTTATCATCAGCGCCCGCATCCATTTTTCGTGCCACGTG